ACTATCAGCGCCACAGATAGTCTCTGGGCACTGCTATTGTTACCTGATAAGTGACACTCGAGAGAGGGCCAGCGCGTGCCACAGTGTTACCTGATAAAATGTTTAATATAACTCTGATTTACACCATCAACCGAGTGTTGACACAGGCAGTCCAAATATCCACATCTAATAATAATAACAATAATAAACATGTCTTCATTAAGGTATGATAAATGCAAACATTAATGATCAAACTACGATGCTATACTATACAGGACAATCTATACATCCGTATAACATTACTACTTATTATAATGTTCGGATTGGGTATGGTTATGGTTAGGTTAGGTTATTTAGAACTCTTAAGTTTATGTTGGGTTGATGTTTCATTGCAAGAGGACCATTTTCGTTATTTATTACACTAAGCCCATTTCATACATACGGACTCGGATTCTACTAAAGATTGTTTTTACAATTATCAAAAACAAACATAAGCACACGTACAATTGTGGCCTAAGTACCTTCAATGCTGTCAATATCATGCGTGTATTTTAGGTAATTCTTTATTATTACGTTTGGTAAGTCGACACCGAGGATAGCCTAAAGATAGATAAGTTTTGGACCTGAAAGATAACATTTGTCAGTGTCACGTTTTAATTACTATATACAGTACTGTGTGCTGTTAGGTGACTAGCCCAGTCACTTTACTACTAAATACAGTAATGCCGTAGAAGCATGGAAATCTAGTGAGACCCTTGAGCCTTTATTCAGGAGTAAAAACAAGAACAGGATAAAATGAAAGGACGAAAGAACAAATGTGTATATTATTGTTTACATGTCTTGAGTAGTGTTAAATTAATACAGGCACCATAAGCCATGAAAGAGTAAAATTCTCTCTGGGAGTTTCGTTACTATGTGATTTAGAGGGGGCGGGGCTGCAGTACGGAAAAAGGGAGGAGCCAAGAGTCAGAATAGTCATTGTGAATCAGGAGTTACGTTGATGCATAACCGAATTAAACCGATGATAACTGAATATATACGGTTAAAGGAGAGATTATTAGGAGTTCGTAGACACAAGGTAGAAACGTGATGGCCACAGATGTTGATTTAAGCAGTGGATATGTTCACGCGGCGGTGGGGAGAGAATACCGTAGCTGTGTTGGACGGACGCCGGCCCAAGATGCAGCGGGGAAAGAGGGGAGTAATGGTGTGATTTTACCATTGACGGAGAAAATACACAGGAAGGATGGTCACCAGGCACAAGACAGGAAATATTGGTGAACCAGCTTGTTGTAGGTTACTGAAGGCGGGTGATGTAGTGATTAAAGTCACGGTCACGCTAGACAAATGTTAGTTGGAGGTGATTAACGGGGTGGTGGTAAGGTGTACTCTACAGACCACGCTGTGAAAGCTGGGGAGAATTTCAGAACAGAGCTAGCCAGCCAGTGCAACAGGTTGGAGATACCAAAGAAAACGAAGCACTGACACCAACACTAGTATCTTATCATTGGTTCCACCTGCTGGTATATACAGTACAGCCAAATGGTTTATATAACATCAATATAACTCAGTTCGTATCCTAAACACTAAGTCTGCTGAACACTACAGAGATGACACCGACAAGTTCGACAACCCAAGGTACTGTAAACTCAAAGAGGAAGAAAACAGTAGTGTGGAGGCAACACGTACCACACGCCAAACTACAGAGGGGAACTGCGCTGGATACTGACAAGACAAGTAGGAACAATACGGCTTTATAACAGGGGCAGATCCAGGAATATCAAAAGCGGGGGATGGGAGTCCAAGAAGTTATGGGTTGGGGAACATGGTGAGCACAGCGAGTCCACCCAAGGGGTGGGGCCCTGTAAGCCACCCCCGAATTTCTTTTTTAAATCTGACCATTATCATGACCATTTTGAAGCCATGTGCATTTGATATTAGGAGATATTCAGAGGTCAATAGTAATTACTTTTTACTATACAAAAACGCCTGAGTACAATACTGCATTAAAGAAAAGCTATTGTAATTTTTTGTTGGAAAGGGGATCCGGACCCCCAGTACCCCCCTGAATCCGCCCCTGTTTATAAACAACAGATGTAACTTATACAGGTACTGTATGGATATCATGCAGGGGCGCATTAAATTCACAAGCTTGTCAGGATACTGTAGCCATCCTGCAAATTTTAGACGCTTGTACTACCACGACGACCTCTTGGATATTGGGGGGCACGACAGTTGTCACTCAGTATCCATCAAAAAGACCAACGCGGTCTTTCCAACATCTCCTGAGTCCTGACACAGCGTGATCGGGGTCAACCTTATGCTCCCGATATCATACACAACGTCACAAGCACTGACACGATAAGCTTTTCATGGGTCAGCCTGCCAGGTCATTTATGATAGTATTGTTCCAGTAGTTTTGAGAGGGACACCATACTGTCAACTTGTGGATTTACTTAATTGCATTATCAGATCATACGGTAAGAAACAACGAAGGTAATTTAAAAAAAATCGTTATGGTTATTTTCAGGCGTAATAACTACGTGAAAAGGGTGTTACCCGGTGTGGCGCTGCAGGGCAGGTTTCCTCCTGTACTATCACTGGAGAATAAAGTTCACAAATAAAAGACCCACCGCCTTAGGCTAGTAAGCTGTTAATTGGGGTAATGGTAAATTGAATTAAGAAAACTTTCCCGCTGTGGCCTTGGTGGTGAATATTTTCGTAGATTAGAATTTTTATCGTTGTTAAGCGTTATAAAGAAATAATTCTATTTATGAGTGAGTTTTTGTTTATAAAATGAGAAATTATATTATATATTTTTTTTTTGGGTGGCAGTACATACCCTATTTGTTGATGAAATTAGAAGTTGCCTGTTTTGGTACTATTAAAAAGTTGTTTAATGAATCAAAGGATCACCTCAAGTATTAACTGTTAATTTTTTTTATTAAAATCTGAACTACATTAAATATGTTTTAAAATTAGAAGTACAGTAATGGAATTGTGAGTTTGTAAATTAAGGTGTACTGAGTCACGAGGGAGTTACCACAAAACCAACAAACAGAACTAGTGATCAGCTGATGTGGCCGCTGAGGTCCAGTGAGTTTATCTTGTGTTATCTCTCTTTTCTTACTTCTCTTTACTCACTTGTCATTTTAATAAGAATATATCAGTTTATCATACTTAATTGTATATGTTTACGTACGTGTCACAATTATTGGTCCCAGTATAAGGTAATAAGAAGTGAATGACACTAGAGGCAGTGACTTGAGTCATGTTTACGTGATTTAAAACCTCACGCGTAATAGTTTAAACGTAAAAATTGATTCTTTAGTTAACAAATATTGGTATAGGGACTTGAAGCATGTTACAGTAAATTAAAATTGTTTATTTGGGTAAAGCCTGTGTTAAAATCCCTCATATGTAATGTCTGTAACATATTAATGACTACAGTGAAGATAAGAAAATTAGTACTGAGTAGTTTAGGGGGTAATGTATTTAACGGGCGTAAATGTCACTTGCAGATTAGGTTTGATTAGATTGGGGTTAATATTCGTTTAAACATATGACGACTTCAGGATGGCATGACCTTTACATAATAATAATTTATGGTTTATTTAAAGACCATAGCAGCCAGAAGGCTGAAAATATACAGTTACATAATTAGGGAATGGGACACTTGATTGACAAATAATATACAAGTCACATGCTGAGATTGTACCGTGATGAAAATGTTCTGGGCCTGTGTAGTTCGATCAAAACCTACCTAACTTAACCTAACCTAGCCTAACCTAACCTAATCTATTATTCCGAGGGGTAATCTCAGCACACCTGAAGCCTACGATGATGTTTTGACCAAACTACGCATTCCCAGAACATTTTAAGCACGGTACAATTCCAGCATGTTTACAGTTGGATAGGTATGTAAATAAAACTGCAGGTATACAGTTTAGCATGAATATAGCGGTCCGACTAATTACCCAAATGTACTCAAATATAGCCGCAATGAAGTCAAATAATGGTCCTACATGAATAAATCGGACTGCTAATCACTTCTCGACTAGTATTTGGTGTCAGAAAGTCACAAAAAATTGGAAAACTTACTTTAATCTGAGTTAATAGATCGCGTGCATGTACCGACGGAGCGAGGAATTACCCAAATGTAGCCAATTGTAGCCGCAATGAAGTCAAATGATGGTCGTACAAGCGTAATTCGGGATGTGAATCACTTCCCGATTATTATTTGGTGTCATAAAGTAAAAAAAATTGGTAAACTTAATTTAATCTGAGTTGTGTTGTGTTAGGTTAGGTTAGGTTATATTAGATTAGATTAGGTTAGGTTAGGTTAGGTTAGGTTAGGTACGTGCACTCGATCTATTAACTCAGATTAAATTAAGTTTACCTATTTTTTGTGACTTCGTGACACCAAATACTAGTCGAGAAGTGATTAGCAGTCCGATTTATTCATGTAGGACCATTATTTGACTTCATTGCGGCTATATTTGGCTACATTTGGGTAATTAGTCGGACCCTGAATATAGACATAGTAGGTACTGTACAATACAGTACAGTATGGTGTATGTATGCTGTGGGAGTTTACAGTTTCCTGTGTGCCTAAAGAGTGCAGGTACAGTATACAACAATGGTAAACAGTAAAGCAATGTGACTGGATAAACAACAAAGCTGTCATATGCTTATTTCCATGCTAAAGTTTATTGTATTTATCCAAGTATTTCATTTTGCGGCACCAAATTGCTTTTCATCTCTCTCCTTTGTCTCACACCCTGATATTTCTTGGCTAGTACACTTGCTGTATAACCCATCCCAAATACTCTAAAGCACAGTTCTGTTTACCATATATAATTTAATTTCTTGTTTTGTGCTGTATTTATTGACAGTTTAATATAATCTAGTATAATTGTATCTACCATTGGTTATCTGTGTCACTAATACAATGAAGTACTGGGGGTATTGTCATGGTAGCTTATGGGTAAGAGATAATACTGAATAGTGTGTGACAGCAGACGTGTGAGTGTTCCTCCTCTCACCTTCTGCTGCTGGAAAGGTGAGACCCATATTGTACACTACATTGCAGTCTTGTTTGTTGTGGTTTTGTATCTGTATGTATGTTTATAGAAATTAATACAGTACCTGTATACATATCATGTACTACTTACACTCACAAAGGAATGGCAGTACAGTATACACACACACACACACACACAATGTACTTGGAGTAGAGAGTTTTACCATGTTAGCTAAATTTAACTTTCCTAACAGGCTTGCACAAGAGTCAGCATCAATAGTAGAGTTGACACTGGGCAAAGGTTTGGCCTATGTGCTGGATTCCTTCATCATGTCACTAGTGGACTCCTCCACAACTACTTGTGGCACTGGGGATCACCTTAAGCACCTAACTCTTGGGGAAGCCTGCCTTGAAGTCTCCAATTCTGATCCTGTCAATAATCTGCAGCTGTGGGCACAAGCTGTTGAGTGTTACAAGGTGAGGCTATTAGATATACTGTACAGGTATACCATTTAGTATTACAGATTGTTACATACTAGATCACTTCATATTGTTGTAATTGATTCTTTAGAATAATACAAACTATAGTCTGTTCTCTTGAACATTGCAACTGAGGCCTAGGGTCACTTTGTATCAGGGCAGCTGATTGTCTGCCGGATGGAATCACTACAGTACAAAGTGTTAAACTGATAATTTCTGCACATGGTGAAGCAAAAATTAACTTGCGAAATTTACAGGAAAGATAAGTACTGCGCAGATCTGTATCATAAAAAGAACAAGAAAAAGATTAAATAATTTCTCAGCTACATCCTCCACCTTGCTGCGCGACATCACCTGGCGAGGGGGAGTTTGTCGCTAAGCTTCTTCATCATGTTCTTATTTGCTTGTGATATTTTTATAACAGTGCATTTCACAGGCAAATTTTTGCTTCCCCAAGTGCAGAAATTATCAGAGATCAACACAGTAAAGTTTTTATCTCTTTGAAGTATCATAATATAAATATGATAGATTGCTGTAAATACTGTACTAAAGAACTATACATTACATTACTGTAATTATTCTTCGTGTCTCCGTCTGCCAGCCAATCAGCTGCCTTGTTACAAACTGACCCTGTTTTTGTTGCAAAGTTCAAGTGAACAGATTTTAGTGAAATTAGTTTACTTAGAGATAGTTGAAGGCAGGATAGACAGTATAAATTGTTTAGTAAATAATCTCTTAATTAAATAATCTGGGTCAAATACACTGATCTGAATAAATAAAGTGGGCACTGTACTGATGAAGAGGTGAAGACCAGATGTAGGTGTGATAAACAAAGTGAGGGAGTATGTGCTTAAGACTGGACAGTGATGGTGAGTGATGATACACTTTGGTCAGTGCTGTATGCTTAGAGATTACTGTATTTATAAAACTCTGTTAATAACATCCGATAACTCATTTTTGCAGGTACAATACAGTAATCTCCCTGTTAGTCAGATTCTTTGATCCCTGGATCTTTCCATTACCTGGAATTTTTATATATATTTTTTTATTGACAATATACTGTACAGTGCATGTACAGCTGAGTTTACATAAATAAATACCGTTCTGTATCTGTCGGACAGCAGTTAAACCTCTGTAGCAACGGTGCTTCATGCCAGATGCGTAGCTTAGATGTGGAAACATTCACCAGTGCCCCCCAAAAATCTGGGGATAAGAGAATTTGTGTCAGTACTTGGAAACCTCTCAAACCTGGAAACGCTCTGCAGCAATTTTTCCAGCTAATGGGGGTATTACTGTAATTATAAAAAGTCTTCATTTGAACTTCATCCAAAAATGCCATTATCACCATAAGCATCTAAGTGTCATGGACAGCTAGACCTGTGACATAGCTAATGTATTTCTTGACTTACTCAACAGTGTCCACCATGGCCATACCTGACCCTTGCCCCCACCACCTCTCAAGCTCTAGTGGTCAACACAACATATCCAACTGAACTGTTCATCAGAAATAAAGATGGGAGTGACCTTCACACGTATGTAGGATTTGCTCAAAATTAAATGGCCGTGTGCGTGTGTATGCGTGCGTGCGTGTGTGTTGCTCTACCTTGTCTCCCTCTTTCAGTTTGTTTCCGATTTCTCGTTCATTTTGTCATATTGTATGACGGAGCGTTTGAGAATATTTTTTTACGGCTATGCATGTTTTCATACTTAGTGTAAAAGTGAGAGAGGACAAGTGTTGTGATACAATACTGCACAGTGAGTCCCTGACGTACAAACGCCCGGCAATACGAACGAGGTTAAACTTTAAATTTTAGTATTTTATTTACCGGATGACTTATTTTTTAGTTTCATTTACTGTATTTTGTCATTCTCTTTCTTCTTTTGTCTTAAATTAAGTGATTTTAGATGTATATAAGGACTTAAGCTATGATATAGTGAGATTTTAAACATTGTTCTGTAAGTACAGTATGCACACAGCATGTGTTACGACTTACATACAAGTCCGACTTAAGAATGTCCTCAGGAACGGAACACATTCATAACCCGGGGACTCCTTGTACTATCCTGTTCCAGTCTGGGATACATACATACAGTACAGTACTGTACCAGTGTCTTCTGAATAAATTTTCACAACCACCTGGCATGAAATAAGTGCTACAGTATTGCCCATCATTAATTTAGTACATACATAAATAATATAGTAGCATATGGTGATGGGTAGAGGAGGGGTGTACCATGTTATCTGTAGTACTGTGCCAACAATTATACTGTATATGAAATCTTTGTGTCTATCTGGCAGATTCTTCTATCATTTTGGAGAGTACGGCACCTACCAGCTGGGAATCAACACGAATAATGTCACACAAGTCAAAATCCTCCATAAAGCCCAGAATGAATTTCTCCGTAAGTAAAATTAACAACTCTTAAAATTACTGAATAATACTGTTGGGGGAAGGAGTGACCTTGTGTAAGCCAGATGTCGTTACACTCATGCAACACTCCGTAGATTACTTAGTATATATTAATGTAAAATAATTTGTTCCTGGTTTCTCACTTTTTCTTGCATGTTCTCCCATATTTTTACCCATCTATATATCTAATTCTCTACCAGTTCCTCTTTCCTCATCTGTGCATAAACATTTCTTTAGTCACTGTATTGTAGAATCAAGTATTTCTTAAGTATGGACCTGAAGAATGTTTACTCCAGCTTGTTTCACCTAAAGATTAGCTACCATAAGGCTGACCTACCTATCCTAACCTAACCTCATCCCCCCAAATAGCATTAGAGTGGTTAATTCTCAGGTGAAATAAGCTTGGATTTTTCTTTCCCCAGCTTAGTTTTATGTCATTTCATGTACTCTGTATCTGTACTGAGGTGACTTAAATGAGTTAACCAGTTTGAATTTTCAGCTCTGATCACCGCGGCTATTTTCTTCTTCATGCTGGTCTTCGTGTGGCAGTGTGCAAAGTTCCTCGTTCGTCGCATGAATGTTCCGTGCTCACCTCGAGCTGTTGTAAGGACTATCAAGTTACTGTATTCCTTCTCCATGCAAAAATAAGACCTGTATTTAATTTACATAATGATTCAAAGTTCCAGTTGTATACAGCTATCTTAGATGTAACAAGAGTTGCTTTGTAATTTATGGGAGTTCATTTTACAGTCACTCAAAAAAACTATCTTTACAAAATTACTTTGAGCAAATATGATGCAAAGGACTAAGGAATTTGAGAACCTTACCGAGACAACAGAACATCGCAATGTTCAGTGTTCATTCTGAAATTCGTCCCCTTCCTTCCCCTGATGTAAAGATAGTTAATTGAGTGACTACAGAAAATGTTTTAAGGCGAATTTCTGTAGGTTATTATTTTGCTCGGTCAGTGTGTGTGTGTAAGCGAGCGAGCGAGCATATTGTCATTAATTTGTTTACACCTTAGCAGCATTTACATGAGTCTGGTAAATATTCCAGAGGTCACATGTGGTAGATGAACACAGCCCTCTTTTGGTAGCTGCATCAGGATCGGAGAGTAGCCCCTCAACCTCTCAGTCATTACCGCCATCTGTTGAGTCATCTTCACAAGTTACTGTTCCTGATTCTATGAGGCAGGGAGGACGTTTGCAATCACTGGACACTTTTAGAGGGCAAGTTAAATCTACTAATTTCTCTTCTTTCCTTTGTATATATTTTAATTAATTTTTTTTTATTGGAAATCTGTCATAAACATACAACATTGTATGAAGATCTACCATGAGAGACCTGTGTTAAGCTGTGAAGAATATATGATAAAATAAAAAGTGATGCAGGAGAGGAATGAGCTGACCTTTACAAGGACGTGTGCTCCAACCACTTGACCAAGGGAGTTTTCTAAAGCTTCTAATAGGCAACAGCTTAAGTCAACCTAACCTAACCCAATCCAGTGACAGTCTAATCTTTATCTGATGGTCCGTCTACCGGTCACATCAAGGAATGTAAACTTTGACCTTACCTAGTGTAACCTAACTTACCCCGCCCCTTAAATTAGCTTTGTTTATAGAATTTTTAATTTGGCTTTTTGCAGAATAGCCATAGTGGTCATGATCTTTGTGAACTATGGCGGGGCCAAATACTACTTCTTCTCACACGCTCGCTGGAATGGTCTCACTGTTGCTGATTTGGTCTTCCCCTGGTATGACTTTTGGGGTGTTTTGTCTTATTTGATAGGCGGTAATGATATAAAACTTATGGTACTGTACATTGAAAGTTTTTACCTTATGTTCATTTTACATTGAATATATGTCATTGTTACATGTTGGGAGATTGTGTTGAATGAGAGAGAGGAAGTAAGGTATGACGATGGCAAGACAAACCGAGATTAAAGACAGTTGTGTGGTAAAACTGTACTGATGATATGCTAGTAACAGTCATGCACCAATTGTTCATCATTCTCTGAGGACACTGAGGACTCTTTTTGATGTTTGGATTCTCTTGAGGATCTCTGGGTTTTACTTATATCAGACAACATTCATTCCTCAGGTTCATGTGGATAATGGGTGTCAGTTTGATATTCTCGGTGCGGTCACAGCTGAAGCGGACCACCAAGAGGTACCGCATGGTTCTCAAGATACTCAAGAGGTGCATTATCCTCTTTGCTTTAGGTCTTTTCATTAATAGGTAAGGATGTAAGGCTTAAAACTGTAAGTTATGATGATCATACAGTATTTATGGCCTTAGCACATTTTAGGTGACTCCAGTTATAGTACACATTCTACAGGGTTGTAAAACTGTCTCAGTAACCCTGACATGTTTGATGGTTGCTGGATTAGAACAAATCTAAAGTATCCAACTAATTCAGAAACTATTAGTTAATCCATCCTGACTTCAACCATAGGCTCCCCCTCAAGAGAGCATATTGTTAATTGTCAGCTACCACTGAAGGCTAAAGAGTCTTGCTGCTGCTCTACCAGGAAAACCTCACATTTGCTTTTTGTTAACTTTATCCTCAGTAGCCAAGATCACTTAAGCTTCCAGCCACATGAGCTACATGGTTATCACTCCTTCACAGTCTACATTTTGGGGGCTTAAGGTTGCAGTTAGAAAGGAATAACAAATATGGGAAATTTTCTGGATTGGCTGATAATTTTAGACGTGTTCCGACTATGACCAGTTACACACATGGGCAGTCTGGAGACCTGGGTTTTCAACTCTGTAGGTTGTGTTCTGTAATTAAAGTTGCTTGATCTATGCATGTCTTTTAGCTGGGATTTCAGGATTAGTAATCATCCATGTTGTCTTTTTACTTTTTAAATGTTATTTGGCAAATGAAATCAAAGTACTGTATATTGTCACAAATTTAATGTTTTGAATTTCTGTTGTGATATTTCCATCTTGTTAATTTTGAAATTGACTTATATAGTAGAGTTCTTTCACTGATGGTATTGAAATTCTTACTAAATAACTAGAAGGGGGGGGGGGGGACAAAAGAAGGCATGGTCATGTTATATTAAGGGGGAAAATGTGAATTTTATTCCTAACCAAAGTTGCCATCACCTTAAACATTTTCTTAATGGCATATCTTTCTCTTACATGTACTATATTGTTTTTTCACATCGCTACAACAAACTTCCTGACCAGTGTTCAGTTCACACAAGAATTTCATATATTAATCTTCACCTCTAATGGATTCTACCATCTATGAACATTTTTCTAGGAAGTTACTAAATGAAGAACCACGGCCAAACTTTTCAACTACTGTACTGACCAACCCCACATCTTTAAGTGTTAAAACTCTCTGTCCCAACGCTAACTGTCTGCATCTTGCTCTTGTGGTTGTCATAAGTAGAAAACACTTTACATCTGTTTGCTTCCAGTTATAGAAATATGGTCAAATAATTGGAGTTGCTTTTGTAGATAAAGTAAGAAGAGTGAAACAGAAACAAGGTAACAAGTTAAGAGAATCAGGAAAGAGAATAGAAAACTTATCAAGTATGAGAAAGTTGAGTAGTTTAATACCTGTAGTAGAGTCTTAGGCATGTCCAGCTGAGTTGTACCTCACCACTGTTTATGAGGAGACGCTATACAGTTAGACTTTTTGGAGAGCATTTGTATTTCATATTTGTTAATTTTTCAGTGAAAATGGGCACAATTACATACCCACCTTCAGGATTATGGGTGTGCTTCAGCGCTTTTCCATCTGCTACTTCATCACTGCATTAATGGAAGTTTACTTTATGAACCCTCAGGAGTCTCCAGAGGTTGGTCTTTTTTCCCCCACAAACAACTTAGTATTCTTTTGATTCTGTTCAGTTTTTGCCTCTCTGTGCTGGATAGAATTGTCTGGCGTTATCCACAAAACCTACCCGGTAATACAGGGTAAAAGTGGCATTGTCGTAGTGAAGGGGTTGAGTGTTAAGCCATACCCTACACCCATATTGTGACTTTTTTTTTACATATTTAAAAGAAGGAAGTTTTGCCATTTTGAAAGTGGCATCAAATAGACTAATGTACTGTTAAACATTGAAAATTCATCCTTATGTGAGGACTCTTGTTTCTACCAAATATACACTATGTTCAAGATTAAGTTCAGCCTAATTGATTGTGTGTGTGTGTGAGAACAAGTTTTGAGTCAGTCATATTGCCCCTCTCAGCACCATAGCATCTCAGCCACTACTCAGGAGGTATGAGTGGTGCATTGTGGTGCGTAAATTATTTTGTATTATTGTACCTTTATAATTTGTTTACTGGTGTACACTAGTGTTGAGTACAGTACATACTGTAAATCTATATACATACAGTACAGTACTGTACTACAAATTGTTACCCAGAGTGTTTTGTTTTTATAGTGTAGTGCACAGCCACACCAGGTTTAAGTAAGGTAACACAAATAGTCCCTGTATTCATACCAAAGGTAATTAAAAAAATAATAATTATATTTATTTGAATATGTCGGGTAATTGTATTTTCATTTTATACATTTGTGTACAGTATACATAATTGAATATAACTGATGGAAATGGGATAGAGGGCTCTAGTGTATAGGCTGTGAAATGCATCCATAATTTTTACTTATAAATTGGTATTTCTTTTATGGGGTTCTGCGTCCATTATAGTTATATAACGAGGACTCCCAGTACTCTTCCCCAAAGACAGCAGCACCTCACCTCTTGTTGTACTGTCTTCCTCGTGTCTTGTGAGGGGCATCAACAACTACTAACAACACATTAGCCTGCCTACTACCTACCTGCCTCCTTGCAGTCATGAAGGCTATTGATGCTTGAAGGCAAAAATTACTGATCTAATGCATGATGACTTCGTGTGTGTGTGTGTGTGTTAGAAGATTTCCATGATACCGTTATTTTCCATTCACTTTCTGCGTGAAGACTGGTGAACTGATTAACATGGTGGTAAATAATGTATGGGAATGGATGTGCTGATGATGTATGATGCTGGGATGTGTTAACTGGTGTTGATAAACTAGAGAGAGATCTTTTGTCTTTGTTGAGGGAGGGGAGCACCATAGAAAACATTTGTTACAGTAAATAGATTGATTGAGGTGGGGCATCAGATATCAGTGGTGCTCTTGATTCTGGCCACCCTACTACACCGTATAGAAAATGACTTACAATTGTGAAAAATGTAATAACAATTTCCACTTTCTACTTGGTTCATGATGGCTTCTCCCTAATTCAATATTATTAATTCTTTCTCACTGCCTTACCAGATGTGTTCTGTTATAATGTTCTCAGCACTGCACAATCACACATGACCAGCACATCTATCCTCTCCAATCATTAATACTGTCTTTTTGTTGTAAGCACATGATATTATATTATGCTAATTTCCTCACACATTCCTTGTCATTACAGTATGTGTGGTACTGGAAAATACGTGACATCGTGCGGTCAGGAGTGCAGTGGGTAATCACCGTCGTGTTGGTTGTCATCCATTCAGTTATCACATTCAGCCTTTCTGTCCCAGGATGTCCCACGTATGTTTGTAGTAGAGTTTGTACGTGATTTTCATGAGTGGACATTTTTCTTTATGAAGAACAATCATGATAAAAAGATTGGAATCTGGAAGTAGTGAATCACTTTGTTTCATTGATTATGATTGGATAAAGAAAGTTACTGTTGTGTTCTGTTAGGGAAGCCTGGTGTTTTTACTCTTGTCTATACCATTGGTCTTGGAAGAGATAGGGTAGGCAGATAAATTTAATATATAAGTAGCTCAAGAAAACCATGATATTTATATAGCCTCTTCACTCAGTACATATTATGAACATCAGTAAATAACAGATCCAGGAATGATATACAGTAATGTTATTTTGTTGCCAGTGGTTACCTGGGTCCTGGGGGCTTGCATGATGGAGGACAATACGGCAACTGTACCGGCGGTGCTGCTGGATATGTGGATAAGATGATACTTGGCGAGGCACACATGTATTCTCATCCCACCTGCAGGATAATCTACAACAGTGATGAGCCTTATGATCCTGAAGGCTTCTTGGGTATTCTTACAACAGTGTTAACAGTTAAGTTCTATTTTGGTGCTACAGTATACTCACACTGCATTGCCAATCTGCTATTCATTTGTTGATGTATCGGTGGCTGGTTGACCAGTCTGGCTAGTTATTGAGCTTAGACAATATGGCAGCATTTGTTTTCTGGGTGCTGGCCAGTACCACCTGTGGACTAGAGCTGTCCAGCAGCTCTCTTTTTTCTCTCGGAACAAATTGTGGATTCTAACCAGGTGTGCTGTCCTGAAAGTGTCTCAAGACAAATACAGTACAGTAGTGATGGTACTGCACTCACTACTTCTTTTTCATCTCTCAGAACTTAAGCTGTTCCATATTGTTTCTATATAAAACTTAAAAGTAAATAAAGACAAATTGAGTTGCTTGGGTGCATATTTGCCTGACTTGGCAGTGTGTGGTAGAATGGGTGACTGATGTGCTTACATTGGCTGGCTATCACTAAAAGGACGAGTGTACTGTAGTTACAGCACTTGGTGAGTATGTAAAGAGGAAATATTAAAAATTAAATTAGTTTTACTACTGTCAAATAACTATATTCTTCATATTATGATAAGTGGTAAACTGTTGGTATTATCAATATAGAGTTCCATGTTTTCTGCTTCCATCTAAACATCATGTGGACTGATGTCACACCCACACTGCACTGTGAGATGCTTTCTCACCAATAAATAATATAATTTTTGTAATGAATGCTGTGATAAATAAAAATATTTTTTAGCAAGTTAGGTTTGTGTTAGGTTTTTATCATTGTACTGCTACTTCAGGATGCTCTTGGCACCACAGACAAAATATTGCCATTTGTAGCACTTGGCATTTGTGTCCATGTTCTACACCAGTGACTGATGGCAGGGTGGAAATATTTTGGGCTGGAGCAATTTTTAAAACGAGTCCCTTCATATATCAAGCAATTTTTCATTAATACATATTAATTGTTAAACAGAACCTAACTGTCTTGGATTTATGGTTCATTTTCTCTATGCAGTAAAAAAAATGATCTTTGTTCTAGCATAACGGTATTCCACACTGACACTTCTCTCACATATTTTCCTTCACTGTAAACCCATCAGGTACAGTTGGGAGCAGCAGCAGGACGCATCATTATCACCTACCAGGACCATGGATCACGTGTTAAACGCTGGATGGCTTGGGGAGCTTCTTGTGTAAGTCACTACTCTTGTTGTCTCTTAACATTGATACAACTTGTTGCAGTTGATGAGCAGTGCGGGGTGTGCACAGCTAAGTAACCAAGAGTGTGATTATTATCCTGGCAGCAGCCCTTACAAGTCATGTAATTTGTACAATTATTATTAGCCTGATTACGTAAAGCCTGGGTGTCCTAAAGGTTTTTGTGCACAGTATGTACGAGAATATATCAGCCATAAAAATAAAATAAAATAAAATATGCATGAGCAGTAAACATAAACATTTACTACCAACAATAGTGTGCTTGCCTAGAGGTAACTGGGAAGTGCCGGCCACTGCCAGACATATGAAGTACAGTATGTATGAATATACGTACTCTGATAAGTCCAGCTCTTACATGTTCTTTGTCTTAACGTATACGGTACAGTATTCTAAATATTTTAAATCTTTTCAACGCTCAATAATTTTTCAAATTTTAAGATTTGGAACCCAGATCCTTAACCAGCATGTAAAGAAGTACCTTTGTATGAAAGTTGAACAAAATCTATGAAGTAACCTCAAATGTGACAGAATACCTTTTTTCTGGAAATTGAAAATGTGTTTAAATGGATGAGATAGTCTACAGTGTAATTGAAATTTTAAATACAGTATAGTACTATGATCTTTGGTGAAAAACAAAATTTTTTGGGGAAATGTAATGTTCATGCTCACACTTGCTCATGAAAATCTTGTACAGTTGGGTATATAATTTTCTACACATATTTGCAGTATATTGCTAAGAGGGGAGCTTCATTACACTGTTTATTATAATTTATAGTACATTATTCCCTTAAAACTCGCAGTTTTAAAGCTTGTGTCCCTCAGAAACTCACGGATTGCCATGGAAAATAAATCTGAGGCTGTGTGTCAGGTATCAAGAGGAGTCAACACTACAGACAATACAAAGCACCATATTTCCCAGTTCAAAAGATGCATCCTATAATTAACAAGGTATATTTTGGAAAAAGAATTTTTGCAGATTCAATAGCCTACTGTACTGGCAAAGCCAAATCACTGGCTATATGCTATCATGTTTCTCACAACCACAGCTCACTATCAATTTATGGACCTATTATCATACATTTGTTGGTATTATTAATAAAATTTACCTAATTTAATACAAAAGGTTATACAGTAATTATACGTATAGGTACCTACAGTATACACATTACAAATATTTATCGGTACCGGGCATGTTCACTAGGAACTGTCCAGTACAGGGATTGTTTATATCCTGTGCACCAGATCAGCTGATGTTTCAGAGGTATTGTCTCTGCATTGTCACTAGCACACTATCACAGTGTGGGCCTAATGTCCGTACAGTGTTATTTCATGTTTGTTTATTTAACTTATTTCATATTTATTATATTTTCTTGTGCATACATAATGTTGTTATACATGTGCATATAGCTATTTATACAGGAGTATACAGGGTATGTATTTTGCACACTCCTGGGACTGGCATCAAAAACTCGAGGATTTTGCTTTCTCACAGGGTCCATTTTACCTAACCCCAGCGAGCTTTAAGGGAATACAGTACTGTATAATATTTTTAATACTGTACTTGCTCTGTGTAATGTTAGAATTTTTATACATTATAAAATGCCTTTGTTCCCAATAGACCTAGCCTTTGTCAACTGCAGGAGATTACTGTAGGTAGCCTCTGTCTAATTCTTTTCCTTTTTACCAGCTTATATGACACAGTATTTGCACATAAATATACTCTTGTCACCTTAAATTTTTAGTGCAATTTCAACACTACAACCATATAAATGTACTGTACATATCAGTTTTTAAAGATAGGGTTTTGCCATGGTATTTCTTCCTAAGTTTCTACCTCTTTTGCTTTTTCTAGGGCATGCTAGCAGGTTTCATCTGTGGCTGGCGTAAGGAAGGTGGTCCAATTCCTGTGAACAAGAACCTTTGGTCTCTGTCGTTTGTGTTGACCACAGCCTGCTTTGCTTTCCTCCTGCTGTCATTCTTGTACTTGGTCATAGACAAGTGGAAATGGTGGAGTGGCAACCCATTCAGATATCCTGGTAAGTACTTATTACATTGTATCATAACTTAGCTATATTACATTACATCACGTCTCAACTTTGTTCATCATAAGTTTGGTGCATATGCTCAGTCACATTTGAGAACTACAAAAGCGAAGAATAAATGAGGATAGTACAGTACTGGATTAGAGGAGGATGGATATTCAGGAAACAGTACTGTGTAGCACTGAAAAAAGTGTGCAACAGATCAGGGTCTGCCGAGATGGTTTTTTAGAGGAAAATGGGAAGTGAAAGATGAATAAGAAAAAGTGGAAATCGTCAGTAGATAATAATTAGGGGTGGGGAGACCTAAATGTATCTTATTTAAATTACAAGGAAACAAAGCTCTCTAGACCCTATATTAGTCCAGGAACTCTGCAGTGCTGTGCTGAACATGAAGGTGCATTATCATCCAGATGATCCATATCTCTTGGACCACTTAATCCATAAACTCTTGTTATTAATTACCAATCCACTGACATCTGAGATTCCAAATCTCCGCTCATGCTGGTCAGGTGAGATTGTCATAAGTGTTTGACATCAATTTCCACAAGACCCTTTTCTCCCCACAGGTATGAACGCCATCCTGCTGTACGTAGGTCACGAAGTTTGTAATGGGTTATTCCCCTGGTTCTGGGAACCTGTTAAACAATACCATGCTTATTTTCTCCTCATGAACTTATGGGGTACGAGTATCTGGGTCATTGTGGCATACCTCTGTCACAGGAGAAAGCTCTATATATCTGTGTGAAACTGTACGTGGAGCATAATAACTTTTACTGGTGCTCAAGTAAACATTGATGGTTGTGTAGAATCATACTGTATTTTAATTACAAAGTTTATTACCATGTTTTTGTTGCATGGTGTAGGAACCAATAATTTGTAAGATTGGCATTATTGAGATAATGAACACCTTTAAGGAAAATATTTAACCGTTTCACTGCAGCTGGTACAGTACAGTCAATTAAAAAAGTTTCAACCACTCTGCTGTGCCTAACAATATGAGCCATTATGTCAAGACTGTGGTTACCGGCATCAGTTGGTTGTTAACTTTCATTTTCTGTTCCAGTGACCTTGAGGTGGTCGATACTTATTTTACTGACTGTATATATTGTTCGGTACAGGGATAGGGTTTCTGCCTTCAAAGTTCACGCTCAGCAATTTGGCGGGCAAATACTAGTTATGGCAGTTTTAAATGGCAAGCCCTCAAGTGTTGTCATACAGCATAGAAATTTTGTGTGTGTGAATAAGTCAGTGTTCTTCATCATGTTGAAGAAGAGAGTACAGTATGATATGTTAATGCCAGCACCACTTCAACCTCAGCATTGAGGCAAGACTGCAATTTACCACAATAATTATTGCATTAGAACCTCACTTTAACTTTAAAATTAATGTTGTATTAAAAAAAAATGGTATGCAGTATATTATACAAAGCTAGTGGTGAATTTATGAAAAATAAATACATAGAAGAGAAAAAACACATTTATATCTTGCGTATGGCATCAAGTCTGAACTGCACCCCTCACCGGAACACCTGTTATTATGCAACACACCTTCCAGGAGGGTGCCTGCTTCCAGATGAGACCCAACTTTTCTTCATCATGAGTAAGTACAGTACTCTTATTTTGTTATACAGGTTAATTATAATTAATTTACCTGCCACACGAGGGGTGGGCCTAGTAATTATATAGCCACAGTAAATTCATATTATGTTCTTTGTAAATGAAAACTTTTAGATATACAGTAATCTAAAAGCAGAAACCTTCAAGTGGTGTTCTAATGACTATTACATACAAATTTTCCTGGAAGTAGTCAGTAGCCTGTGGTGGTATGGTGTTCACACTATACATTCCACTTACCTAAATAGACCATTAACATGCTTGTGTTGGTCTCTGATTTAGTCATGACAATATTTTATACAGTGCTCTCAGTAGTTAGTCTGTGATGATATTATTTTAGTTTTTTGTACACCCAGAATGTCTATATCCTGTAGTACATTGTAGTATTATTGTAAGTGGTAAATGTATGAAAGTGCTTGTCCACCAGCTTGGTATTTAATGCTTTGGAATTGGAGCCTCAAAAATTACATATACAGTACAGTAGTACATTGACTTAACATACATCTGCTTATCTAGAATATCATACCACCAGACTGGGGGTTGTCCAATAATTATAATTGTGTCAAGTTACCCCTGGAATATCAATGCTAAAGTACTTACTGTACAATGTAAGCTCAGTGGTGATGGATAATTATACAGTACGTACTATAATGTGGGTAAATTATTGAAGACTGCTAGTGTACTGGAACTCTGTGAAAGGGAAGACTTTACATCAAGGGCAGAAGACGTGGCTCTTCCAAGGAGTGAAGTAATCTTTACATGTTGGCACTGGTTTGAATGTACAGTTTACATAATAACATTAACTCTTGAAGACCACTAAAGTAGTACAGTACCATCCTATAAAATAATTAGTCAGGTAAGGCAATAAACTACTGTCCTTGATAAGTAAAATTTTATTAATTATAATGATCAGTTTTTAACACTGCACTTTTGTAAGAGTTTTTGGTGTTGAATAAGCAAGTGTGTGTGTGGACGGTGGACACATCAATATGTAGTCTGGCTCGAGGTTCCTGCCTTCCGAGTTTAAATGTGTTATTAGAAGTTAAGTGCCATATTATATTATTTCCACAGGTGTTTGTGGAAAAAATTATTAATCTTTGTTTTGTTATTTTAAGCTATTAATACATTAAAAAATACAGAATTTTAATTGATTGTCTTAAACCCAGGAATCAGCTTCCAAGATTTTGTAACTTGGAAATCCATTTACAATCAAATTTTTGTTGAAAGAGATAGACAGGTATAGCTTCAATCTAGTGTCCATAACTGAAGCTATAAAGCAATTTACTCGTGTTGTTATACAGTACAGTACATCCACTTTCATAATTTCTTTCCAACATTATTTTCTGGTACTGAATAATATAATTTTAGTCACATATTTAGGTTACCGAATGTTTCTCAGAAATTCTTTACTTTGCCCAACTAACTACTGTACAATATTTGAAATAAACATAATTCACCTTTGTGGGGAAAAAAAAAACTGTCTTACACTATTTTTAGGATACACTGTAAGTCCAACAGGGATTTTGTAATACTGTATGCTCAGTTATATATAATTCTCAACCTAGTCTTTCCACACAGTATTAGTGGGAGAGGTTTTGTGCCCGTGGGTAGATGAGAAAATTGTCCCTCCAAGCCTTACTGTTTCTTCTCTATACACTTCACCTACAACACACACACACATGAACTCTATATTCCTTTTCTATAAGTTAATTCCTTCCTGTGTGCACCATTTATCCTCTTACTATTAGCTTATCTAATGTCTATGATCCATATATACCTGGTACATATACTGGTATGTATGTCTTAAAAAAACAAACAAATTTCCTTAACTTTGTGTAATATACAATAATGTACATTTCAGGGTAATAAAAATATTTTGCAAAGTACACACACATGCTTTGAGGCAAATATTCTGAAACAGACTTACTAGCAGTCATTATTCTTCACTTAAATAAGACCAAGAGTTAGTTTGCATACAGAGCACTCAGCTTTATAATTTTCTGTTGCACTATATATAACAATAGACAGCACAGAGTCTACTGAGGGAATATGGATTACAGAACTGTACCTCTGTGTGCCATCCTCCAATCCTTCATGGAGGTGGCTATCCATCTGTCCCTGTCCCAATATACTTAAACCAGAACTTCTCGAGGGTCAATTGTTTTAATTACAGCAACACCTTTCATGGTGACAGAGAGAAGTACAGAAGTTGTGTGGGGGAAAATCTTACAAATCCTTTGTTTATCCACAAGTGACCAGAGTAGCTGTTCAATTGATTGTTCACCATACAAAATTCTTTGACAGCTATTAAGATAGCACCTGGAACATTTTTCAGCTCATACAGTACTGATTAATTGTAGCAGCTGTGGACTGGGGATGTGGTAGTTTCTAAAGCACAATGTCTGAGGACTGACTGGGTCACTTAGCAAAGTTCACCATAATGTGATTGCTGTCATAAAGCCCAACTTCTCAATTAGCTCTGTTCAAAAGTTTGCATTATAGGCCTATGACTCAACTTCTTGAACCATAAACCTTAGAGAGAGGGAGATCATAGGAATAATCACTAACTCCAAATCATAAAAAAAAATTGATAACTTTTGCTGAGAAACTATAAATGCAAGTTATTTGGCTGGGGTTGGTCCAAGTGTGGGACAAGTGCCCTAATGCACATCCACAGCACACACTTGATTACATGACTCACACATCTGGCATAACTACCCAAAAAATACAGTAATTTAAAACATACAAATTTGGGTCTTCCCTGTAACTTGTTAACTTCATGTTTGAATAATACAGAAATTAAATGTAGAAGATGAGAGCTAAACACTGAATCCTTTGTATTTTGTACTAACATGGAAGTTAAAATTATATTTGCTGCAGTCAACTGTCAGCCATAGTCAATTAACATCAATAATATTCATCAATATATTTTTGTAATGCCCTGATAAAGTTACATAAAACATTTACATTTCTTAAAGTTGCACATTTATTCATCACATACATTTTACAATGAATGATGTTATGATAAGTCTATGCATGAACCTTAAGTTATTAAAGATGTACAAAATGAGAGAATTTGTGCGTAAACTGGGTTATGTAATATAAAAGTACCCAACATGCACAATGTTTTTTTTTTTTTTTTGCACATTCTTAAAGTACTGCTGTTGAGCCTTTGACAAGTGAAGTTTTCAGGAGCTGTAAGAAACAGGAATTTTTTTCAGAAATTTTATATGGGACAGCCTCTTTTAAGTGGTGGTACGAGCTACAGGCGACACAATTATTCTCTAAAATTTACTTTCAATACAACTGAACATCCACTAAATACATCATCTGGTGTCACAACTGTTCGGAACACAATAACTGCTGCCAAATTTTGAGGTTAACAATAAAATTAAAGTACAATACTCCAGCACTCACCACAACAGCATAGTACAGTATGTATGAATAAACTGGTATACAGTACACACTGAACTTTGTTATCTGTTTTCAAAAAGCCTCACATTAGGGAAGAGAGGTAAACACAGTCATAAACATTCACTTTACTAACTTATCTCTTCCTTTGCTGTCCACTACCAGTTTGTTCCTCACTTGTTATCTACCTGTAGCCGAGTCTCTCTAACTTAAATTAATTGGTGCAGCTCTAACACCTTGTTGAGCTGGGAGCAGAGTATGGTTGATTGATAGACAGGAGTGTCTACAATATATGTCTTGATAACATTTACTGCTCCATGCTTCAGTTTAAAACAAAAACAAAAATCCTGTCAGTGGTCTCCAGAAACATTACTACTGTATGTTATTATGAATTTAAGTGGTGTTACCAATTGTGGCTCCAATCCTTTACTCTTCCAACCTCAGACCTGCATATCACTGTTCTGATGCTATTCTTTACTTTAATGAATCAATATACTGTACATTAAAATATGTTATGATTCAAGCATTTATTAATATGATAAAATCTAAAAATAAAATGGTGACTCATTTCCATTGAAGTCAAATGTTAAAATATGTAAAAGTCAGAGGATAAAAGTACACTAAAAATAACTTAGTAAAAATTAAATACAGTACAGAATGTTTAAAATAGGTTAACAGTGGTGACAGCTGTATCAATATACTGTACTTACTGACCAACTGCTGCATCCCTGCTCTCTAAAACAGTATTATAATAACAATCTGCTGTACAGCTTCATCAAACTTGGTCAAGATTTAGCTGTCACAACATCTAATATGGATTATAGAATACATACCTTACAGTAAAACAATTATAACATGATTGGAAAATTTTCTACAACTTGTATGGTTAAATTCAAGACACTAAACCCAGAAGCTGTGAGTCTGAGCCCCAGAGAGGCAGATTACAGGGTACATATTAATATATTTTATCAACGGAGGTGCCCACTGTGTGCGTGATGGCCCAACACTACCATAAGAATTCCCTTAGAAGGTTTCCAACTTATAAACTGTGCAAGGCAGAACAAATAATGTATGAACTAACAACAACAAAGTCTTCTACATTACATTGATTTAACTCCTCAAAGGGGAATATATTTGTTTTTAAATGACTCGTATAAAAGTGGATTTGAATTGTATGACTTTAAATTAAGAACGTAAGCAAAACTTTTATACTCAACATGGTTATTTTTCTAGTCATTGATTATGTCAAAAGCAAAATTAAACATGAAACTAGATCTGGCGACACAGTGGGCACGCACACATTCTCTACAATATATAAACTGCCTATTTTATTAAAAAGTAAAATAAAAGAGATTAGGAATTACAAGAAAAAAGTCAAGTGATTCAAATGCCAATGTTAAATCTTTGAGTATGTAATATGTAACTTGGAATGACCAGGGACTTATAATTCAGTGGATGAGAGGAGTGTGGGAGGACTCGTACTGAGGGACTTAGCTAAAGGAACACACTACTACTCCACCCTAGACTCCCTTCAAACCTCCATATTCCTTGCATGTTGTAAGAAATGACTAAGAGGATGAGATGGGGTAAGGAAACTTGTACAGTACAGTACAACAACCTATGACTGAAGTGTGGTGTACTTGGTCCTCCCATAAAATAGTAGGGAATGAAGTAAGGCCGGTAAACAGAGACAAGAACTCTTAGAAAGATTGAGATGCTGTACTGATTGACATAAGTAAAACAAAGCGAGATAATGCAGAGATTTAAGGTGCATAATTAGTTTCAATACCTTACTGACAATAACCAAGATATGTGAAAAAATAATTCTACCTGTACCACCGTGCCACTATACTTCACCGAGATATAGAAAAAAATTGCTGAAATATTGATTACTACAATACAGTACACATACTGTATATAAATATATATACTGTATATGTCATTATATAAGCTTGCTGCTCATAATATATAGACAAAATATACCAAAGTTTCATCAATTCACACACGTGTTGTATGGTCAAATACAGCTATCAATGAAATTTAAAGAAGTTCTCAAAATATAGATACTATAAGTATAATATAGAGTAATATTAACTAATAGTTTTTCTTGTATCATTGTGCAATATTTTTATTTTGTTATATAAAAGACAATTAAATATATAATTTTTTCTTATTATTAATGAATAGCAACCAATTCTATAACTGAAAAAATTTTCTAATGAAAATTCTTTGTTTTCTACATAACACTATATGCATAAGTATCATTCCACAGCCATTCCCACACTTTTTCATCGAGTTGAACTGTAAAAAACGGATTATGAACAATGGTGGTAATGGGAAGCATTTTAAAATAGCAAGACCCTTCAACTACACAACCTCATTTTCTTCTGGCTGCTGAGAGACAGAGAAACTGACTGTAGGAGTGCTGAGCTCCTGGGGTCTGTGTGAAGGGTTTTGTATTGGGAAGCATATTAAAATGACATTGCCCCTAATGTGTCCAAACTACACAATCTTATTTTCCTCATGTTTCATTGTTACTGAGTGGTGGGGGGCCCTGGCTGTAGCAGTGCTTGGCTCGAGGATCAATGTAGAGGGTCTCGTGTTGCACTGACTGACTAGATGTGCGACACTTCACCAGGCACAGCTCAAAGTGGTCAGACACTGATGCGTACAGTGGACTGTTCTCACTAATTTGACCCAAAACCTTCTTTAGTAATGATTTCTGAAAGTACATAAATGCAATAAGAATAAAATTACAGCAATACAAAATACAAAAATAAAACCCTACCATAAGACACTGAAAAAAGTTGTCAAGTGGAATAAATGGATAAACAGCAGTGTAGATACTTTAATTATATGAAAAGTTAACTTACACAGGACAAATGAATACTACTACTATACTACAATAAATGATTAACCCCATGATCCTCACCTTATCAGGATGCAGACAGCAGGACACACAATATTCATAGATAGCACAACACCCATGGGCATTGCAAGTGTCACAAGCATAACGGCGGGTCGTATCAACTGCAATGTTGCAACAGCCAGTGCTCAAGCGGTCCACTCTATGACACACATAACCTGAAATTTTCATCTTGATAGTTAACAGTCTTAAGGGACCTGATCTTGGGTCTAGTTTTTGAAAATCCAGAATGTTAAGTATCCAGCATCCTTTCTTAATCGCTGACCAGTCAACTGGGTTATCACATGCCTAGAGAAACACTCACTGAAAAATCCAGTCACAAAATATAGACCATTATGCTCAACTCACTAGCAGTGGTAAAAGCACATACAGTACTGTACAGTGACTACATTATCTGGCATACTACTAAACAAAGCACCAACATTCACTTACCTTGATCGTCGGCCAGGAGTACTTTCCCTTGTACTGAGTTTCTACAGGTAGTGACCTTGTCATTAGATGTTCCATTTGAAGAGTCAGGACCCCAGTGGAACTCGACCCTTCCTGAAACCTCCACCTCGCTCTCATCAGGACCGATAGTGTTCTGTGTGAGTTAAACAAAAAGTCAATATAATACAGATCTCCCAATATGATTTTATCCATAATGAAGGGTAGTGGTAGTGAGATTCTTTTTTTTTTAATATCTTGTACTATAGGGAATTCCATGTAAAATATATCTAAATTACAATTCCCAGGGCGGATAAGCGCTATTATTGAGGTAAGGAACAAGTTTCTCAATACTGTACAAGAAATCTTTTAAATAGACAGTTTAGGTGCTTAAGAATGGTAAAGTATTATCATACAGATGAGTTTTGACTACATTAAAGTGTTGTGCCCCTTAAGCTCTCTAATTCATTTCACATGATGATGAAACATCCTGCTGCAGACCAGACCTAACCTAACCTAACCCCTCCTGGTGGCATTGGGATGTTTAATTTTCAGGTGAAATTAACCGGGGTACCTAATCTTCAAGTGATACCTGTACTTTTTCAATATTATTCTTTGTCACTTTCGGGAATGTCCAATGGTTCATTCTTGCCAACATCTGACACTTCAGTGATAGTTTGTTTCAATATGCTGGAGCCACACACAAGTGAAAGTAAACATACATCACCATGACTGAAATTCATAGAAAATTGGAGATAATATGGCAATGTTTTATGACAGTCCTACAATGTATTTCTATAGTTATAAAGAAAACTTTTCATCTACATAAACAATTCAGATATGAGATTAGTTGTAAAACTTAAATAAATTAGTAACCTCAATTCTATGACAATATGGTTTCATCTTTTATTTCTACTCAACAATACACGTCTTCTTCAAAACCCAACTTACATAGTCATTTAACTCATAACTATAGAGAAAATACCTGAGGAAGTAAATGGAGAAACGGAAATTAACCCAAGAGACACACACCAATATCATTTCTTTTGTTTCAACTTTCATCTCATTTCAACACTCCCTTCCTGCACTACATCATGACCAAATATACCTCAATTGACAAAAACAAAACATGATTCACCAAGCACTATGATAATCTGTCAATAAAAGAGACCTAGGTTGAAGTAGATACGATAATAACAACAAAACCTGGAAGTCACATCACCTACCTCGGACCAGAGAGACAGACAGCAGTAGGCCACTCCCACCAACAATAACACCGTTAAAACTACTTTATTCCTCAAAATCCTCATTATTTTGGCGGTGATCATGTTCTCGAGGGGCGCCTCTCTCATGGTACACCAGCAGCTGGGCCACCATCATCCTGTGAGGGCCATAAAACCCACAATTAACCTGGATGATCCTTGTTGCTATCTCTACGTTACGCTGAGGCCATCTTGTTTGTTTACGTCTGGTCTCCTCCCCCTCTCACCTCCCTCCACCCCCCCACCCTCCCACCCCCCCCACACACCCCCCTCTCACCTCCCTCCACCCCACACACCCCCCCTCTCACCCTCCCCTACCCCCACACACCCCTCTCACCTCCACCCCCCACACCCCTCTCACCTCCCTCCACCCCCCACACCCCTCTCACCTCCCTCCACCCCCCCACACACCCCTCTCACCTCCACCCCTCTCACCTCCCTCCACCCCCCCCCACACACCCCTCTCCTGGAGATTACTTAAGATGGAATAAGCTGAGGTGCCTGATTTTCAGATGAAATAAGCCAGGGTGATTAATCTTCTGGTGAAATAAGCTGGATTGCCTAATATTCAGGCGAAATAAGATGGTGTGACTAATCTTAAGATGAATTAAGCTGGAGTTGTTAATCTTTAGGTGAAAAAGCTGGGATAGCTATTCTTCAGGTGATCCATTTAATGTTCTAGACCTTGACCACACCAATATTTAACCTTGAACCGTATAATTAATGTTAGGTTAAGGTTATATCAGGTAAGATTATGTTAAGGTTACATTAGGTTAGCGCTATGTTAGGTTAATTAAACATTATATTACGTAAATTGTTAAATTAATGTTAGGTTAAGGTTATATCAGGTTGACTTTATATTTTGTTAATGCTATAGTTGATTAAATTTCCGTTTTCTATGATACGTCACAGAGTCAGAGTCAGCCTAGCACAGGGAGACAGGCATCACAGTTCACAGGCAGCCATAGCAACGCAGAAATTTCTTGACTTTTCTACCAGAGGAGACAATTAACCAGTGTTTAGTAAGTACCGTTGCTCTATACACCTTTCATGATATAATGTGTCTTAGAACAGGTTAAATTGTTCAAATTATGTTGCTTATCTATGAAGTCTAGACGAAATGATAACTTAATGTTATTAGTTACTGTTACTGTTTGTCTTTTTAAGTATATCAGATGGAGAATTGATTACTGGTGTAAATATGTCATAACTGTATGGGGTTGTAGAGGCCAGGAGGTCACCCAAGGAGTGTCAAGGTTGTTAGTAAGGGAAATATATGGTGAGTGGACATTTGGGCCACCGAATGTTTGCTGTGGCCATGGTTAGGTTAGGTTAGATTAGGTCCTAACCACCCTTGCCTCAACTAAATGTCTGTGGCCCAAATTTCCTACATTCAAAAACATAACTAAAACAACCGAACCTACTTGGTAGTTATTTTGTAAACACTAGCATACGACTATCCTCATAAGACGGTGTTTGGGGAGTCTAAATCATATGCCAGTGTTTAAAACTAAAACAATTTGCAGATTGAATTACTTCATCTCCACATTTCAACACAGCTCAGAGAACATGCCTGATTATGTAGAAACCAACTTTGACGAAAAGAGCGGGATTGTCCCGTATAAAGCACCATGGGGCAGGTGGTGGCAGACAGTAGCTGAAGTCCATGCTGAGGTGGACATACCTGCAGGCACCAAGTCCAAGTTTATCCAGGTCACTGTTAAACCATCTCACATTAAGGTGGTAGTCCTGGATAAAGTGATTATTGAGGTAAGCAAAACAAGTATGGTAATTTTAAAAGAATCTATACAGGTACTTTAGTGTAATCAAGAAGTATGTAAATATATTTATCCATCTTGTGACTAAAAATATCAGTGCTTTTACTATGATTGTCAACTCTTTCATGGCTTATGTCCATGATTTTGTTTCACTTCCTTCCTCCTACCATTCCATCCAAGAAAATTCCATCACTGAGTTCAAGTAATAGTTCTTACTTGTATGCTTCTTTCCTCTCATTTTATAATGTATAGAAAACACTCCAGTAAACTTCATCAAGTAGTATTCAGAGACCTTCATCAATTTCCAAATAAATGGGATGAAAATTTTCTTTATTCAAGAGTTTGTCTGTCCAAAGTATAGGCAGTAGTTTAAAACCATATTGTTGATATGTAGTTTTAGATATTAAAATAGATTTAGATTTCCTTTCACCAGTCCACTTTATAACACCAATCTCCTCCAGTCATAAATCATATTAGTGATCAGAGTGAGACACTATGAAGCATCAAGCAATTTAGACATCTTGACTCACTTAGTCTCACTCTGCATGACTGCACAATACAGTAACTTTACTACCATTGTTTATAGATTTGTTGTACAGTACTTGTTTCACCCATAAAGTTGGTACTGTAGTAAGGTTTGTAACACATAGACAAATGAAAGACTATAAAAGAATTTGTTGGGTAGTTGTGAGTTTAGAATTATCGTGTCATTATCAAGATAATAAAAAAAATTATATACTGTACAGTACTGTATGTAATAAAATGTAGTTACAATTCTTCTTAACCCTAGGGAAAATTGTATGCAGTAGTGAGGACAGATGAGACTGTGTGGACCTTGGAGGACAAGAAAATATTACACATAGTTCTGTCAAAAGCTGATGCATGCAGCAAGGAGACGCTTTGGGAGGGACTGTTGGCCGATGATTTTCTGGCAGACCCCTGGACCGCCCAGGAGATGAGGAAGAAATTAGATCTTGAGCGATTCCAGATTGATGTGAGTTGAGAGTGTGTATCAACTAGTTCTCTGTAATAGTGAAGTTAACATAGAAACATAAGAAACATAAGAAAATAAGGAGTCTGCAATAGGCCGGTTGGTCTGTGCATGGCAGCTCCTGTCGAGAGTTACTACCACTCTATCATCCATGAATCTATCTAGTCTCCTTTTGAAACTTTCCAGAGTTCCCGCACTTACTACAAAGTTGCTAAGCTTGTTCCATTCGTCCACCACCCTATTTGTGAACCAGTTTCTTCCTATCTCCCTCCTAAACATGTAATATCCACTGTTCTTATTCAGCAAACGTTTGTATTCTCTCTCTTGTGTTTGCCCTATTCTTATGCTATGAGATTTCTTTAACCATCATTTGTCTAATATGATAGTTGCAGAAAAGAGTTCTGTCAGCCCTCTATCCCATCCATGAGCCCTATGACTTATGAACATGTGAATCCAAGACATCACACATTGTTTGGCCCATGGATGGTGCACTCTGTGATGTGTCGGATTCACAGGTTCATGGTCGGGATGGAAGACTCGTAGGACTTTTTTCAGTGACTACATTACACCTTTGTCTGATATGTAAAATTTATCATTTACATTTAGGTGTCCTGCCAGTCACCATAAGGACACTCTCAAACTCACACATCTGTTGTGAATCAGTGTGGATGTCAAGATTTTCTTTATATGCTGTGTTTGTAAGTTAAGGATATAAACAGATACGTACATATAAATATTTTTATCCTATTGTTTAAGTCATTTGTATCTACTTACCACACTTGGTTTGCAATTCTCCTTATTATTTGGCCATAGCTTTGAGGTATCTGTATCCCAGGCTGTGCATATTAGCAGTACCTGACTAGGAGCCGGGCAATTTTTCATGTTCGTGTGCCCAGTACTTGCCTGGCAGGCAAAATAATATTTTGAGGTAATTACCTAAACGGAAATTTGTTTTCAGAATCCCGGGTTTGACTTTAGTGGTGCTGTACTCAAGAAAACCTACGACAAAGTTCCAAATTCTGCCATTGAGAGATGGGAGGAGAAACAGAAGGCCCTCAGAGCAGAGAATCCACCACAAACTTGCCAAGTTGATGATCAAACAGACCAGCCTGAAGAGCAAAGTGTTGAGAGTGAAGGTAGCTGAGGTTGTGTACCATAGAAGTTTACCTGAAGAAATTGTAATAATAAAGTGGGATATTTATTTTCTGAGCAGTGTGATAGGTTCAATATTTTTATTTGGTGTGGTAGACCGTTCCACAGTTCTACCACCCTGTGTGTGAAAATGTATTATGTCATCCCTTGCTGTACGCTAATTGGTCACTGACATAGTTTACGTCATGTCAAGTTAGGGATCTGTAGGCTTGCTAAGGGCTCCTATGGCTCCAGATCTGTAGAATAACTCATTTTATATGGCTTGGCAACCCATGGCTATAAATAGGTGAGTGTTTGGAGGCTGTAAAAACAGAGACAAGGTTGAGTGTGTGTGTGTGGTGAAGGGAGGAATGCCATTTTCTCACCTTCCACACTGTGGTGTTGCCACGTTTCCCAGTGAAAACTTTCAGGATGCTATCTGACGCAACTTTGTGCCTCCAGTGTACTTCTTGTATGTATAGAACTAATTTTATACTGTAGTTATATTGAGAAGTAAATAACATAAGGAAGTGGTAGCAGATATGCTGGCACCTCTGAAAGGACACTGCATGCATGGCAATGCCTGACTGCCTGGGCAGTTACCATATGACTTTGGGAGTTCTTTGGGCTTGTTTTAGCCAACAAAAAGAATGGAAAATCTTTGACTGTTTGAGTACGACTTATATTAAATTAATTGACTATCAATAGGTTAAATAGAGGTTTCACTGTATCCCTGATTTATACATTGTAATCAGTATAAGGTGTAGAAGAGTGTTAATTTCACAAGTAATCTTAGGACTGTACACTCACTCCAAACAGTATCTTAAGAATTTGTGCTTGACAATATGACACAATGGACGAAAGATTTAGTCAACCCTACCAAGACAACAGCAATCACAGTGTTCATTTTGACATGTATCATACCCCACACCTCGAAGATAATTTTTTGGAGTGTGTATACAAGTTAGGATTTTACCAGTAGGCAATGACTATAGGAATATATATTGTTGCTAGTATTGTTAGTGAAATATTTTGTAGGATTGTGACTGATAATACAAAAAAGAATTACTAAACTCTTTATTGTTTAAGATAATATGAACTTAGAAGCTTTAGTATACAGAACAGAGGACAAGTCAATACCAAATCTCCTTTTAGACTAAATGAATTAAGTAATCTATGTAATTATACAAATATGGCACAGTACAGTACTTCTGTATTTATTACAAAGAGTTTTGATAAACTTTTCACAATTTTGTTCCGTTTCACTTATAAATTATACCACAGCATGTTTGATGTGTTCATAGCAAGGTAGAGTGAAATTTCCACATAACGGACTTCTCTCTACATATAGTCTGCTAAATAGAGCTTTCACTGTATGATACAATAGTATTAGGAGTTAACTGTGATTCTGCTGGGTGTTGATGAAGACAGGACAGATTAGAATTAAACATACAGTACTGGTAGGTGCAAGACGAATATTGACAAAACATGAAATATGGTAAGACTGCTGGAGGGGAAGAAAGAACAAGAGGAATGATGAGAGGTGAACTGATACACTAGACTTTTGATGTGCCAGGTGTGATGATATGTGACTGGGTGAACTAAGTGCTTTGTTATACTAAGGAGAGTGTCTTGTTATTGTATATCTACTACCTGCTGGGGTATTAGATTGTGTGTATGTTAGAATATTAATGATTTATAATGTAAGAAAATCACAGCCAATGCATGTGTATTATGAACAAGAAAAACTTAAGTGTAGCTGCAGTGATGTCAGTATGATCCTTACTGTTAGAGTCTGTTTAGAAAAGTGCATAGGGAGCGTTGTCTGACATAGAATAGGTAATGGAATGGTGTGTATATAAACAGTGCAAGTTTTCAATTTAGGAAAAACGAAATTGGATATAAAGATTGACCAACTTGTCCAATATTTGAACTAGAATAAGGGAAAGGTGCATGATGTTACACTGATTAATTAAGACACGAATAATGAAGAATTTAGGGAAGTTATTGTAAACATTGAAAATGGATTTACAGAATAAAAGAAATTGCTTGGGGTAACAGCTCAGGAGCTCAATTGCAATTTGACATCTTGCAAGGACTTGAAAATGGTTTGATGTCTAACTTATGAGGACACTCAATGGGAGCCCTATTGGCCACCATCTCGCATGTAATTATTAACTGTTTTGTAACAATTTAAGTACACAAAAGATGATACTGTACTTACATTGGCAAAAATTTACAATTACACAGTCAAATACCATTAAGGAGAACCCAGAGGTGCAGCTCTTATCTTAAAAATGATGATCAAGAGGTACTTACTGACTATTATGAACAAAAATTTCCATCAATTAGGCCAAGAACATGCGCTGGGCTGCCTGGATGTAGTCTGTAGTTGTTATCTGAAGTGTTGTTGCAGAGTAAGAAATGAAGAAGCCCCAGCAGTGCTTCACTTGAATCCAGTAAAGCTTGGAGTGAAGCTGCTCATGTTTTCTGGCAGCTGGAAATACACCTGGGCTTCCATGTCCCAGCCAGAGCCTGTGAAGACTAAACTGAGATATAGTTCTTAGTGTATGTAATGTATGATACAACTTTTGATAAGCGGAGATTGAAGGGAACGGGGGGTGGGGGGTGAGGCACTGAATTGGAACGAAAGTCAGGGGCTTCCTAGATTATCATATTGAAGCATTACAAGGGCCGGGCCCTTTGTTCACTTAGGAGGGGGGGTGGGGTCTGAAACGTGTACTCTTTGTACTCTCGTGAAAATATTGATAGTTGTGAACGGCTATTGATCAAACTCTCACTGTCAGTAAGCACTATCTATTAGCATCCAGTAATATATTAATATGCATAATTAAAAGCGTAAATGTTTAATTCCCGAGCCATATGTCTTTTCCCATCTTTTCCTGCCTGAATTATTGTATGTGTTGATGTTAATATCAGACGAGTGGATGACTAATCAAATATTAGCATTCAGGCAATATCTGTTCGTGTGTAGTATTGACGTTTATTAACTGTACCAGTTTATCCTCACAAATACAGTACATTTTCATTTATTGTCATCAGTTTTTGCTGTTTTACATACCAGTAAGCAGATTAAGCGGCCATATAATCAACACTCCATAAACTTTTTTTGTAATAAGGCTGTTGGTGTTGGTGCTCGCTCTAACGTTTACACAGACACGTAAACATTGTGTGGGTCACCTTGTGTTGCTCACTGTTTTATTATTTCGTGAAAACTTTGAATCCTATTGTTATAAAGACCACGAAGTCATCCTACATAAGGTTAGTCTCTTGTGCATGTAAAGAACATTAGCATTTATGACACATGACGAGGTAAAAAAGAGTAAAGAATAATTTGTAACGAGACAGTTGTGCAGAAGTTGAAGATCTTCTAATATATATTATATTTGCTGTGTGAAGTTTACTATTACCTGGGCAATCAGATTCACTTCTTATTTGTTGTGTGAAATCAAGATTAATCTGGTTTACCCTTGCACCATGCATGTTTGTTTTAGAATGATTTCACGAACATACAATTTTTTGCACAAACCCTCCTAGATATGTCTGGCATAACTTAAGGAAAGATTCCCTGTGGGTACTGACATTAACACGAAAATTGATATACCGACATTTAAAACTTACGTCTTTTAGTAATGTGACAAAACAGTGACCATCCCTGGAATGTCTTGCATCCGCTTGTCTTACCACAGCTTCCTAACAATGTAGTTGATTTGTATTGATTTCACTCTACTCTGATTAACTTTTGATAATTTTGCACAGCCTAGATACACGTTATGTTTGGGTATCGATTGGTGGAGCAACTTCATTTGATTAATTCTTTTAGATATATTGTTTCTATCAAAGTAAGAATTTTGCTTATGCACCATGTTTGTTTTGACTACTGCACACCTTTTATTGGTTAGTGAGTCGGCTAATGAGACGCCTTGGTTCCGCTAATTAATATTTTTCATCAAAGTATACGACAACGGGAGACTGAGGTACAGTATACATCCTGCCTCAGTTTCGCACCGGGAACTCTGGCTCTCTGCAATCTGTCTCTGCTGGCTGATACGTATATTACCTTGTCTTCCATTTCTTCTTATTGTTATCATTTTAGTTTTATTAACATTTTCTGTCAGCATTCTAGCATAAATTTCTTTTAATTCACTTATCTCTGAACCTCTTTTTTTCCTCCTCACTCATCTCATTCCCTCGTGCACAGTAACACACTTGAGTCCACCTTTTATTCACTAGTTTTAATCTTATCCATAATATCCTAGAGCTGATTCACTATATTCCATCACCAAACAGATTTTATCTCAATAACACCCTACTCTCTCAGACACTTCTCACTCAACTCCCTTCTCTTGTCCCCAGCTCGCCTCTCCTTTGATCTTCAGCTTTGTTTCGCACAAAACAAAGTCGTCTTCAATCTCATATTTTATATCACTATTTCGCTGTTTACTTCCACGGATAGTCACACATCATATTTATATATACAGTATATATATATATATATATATATATATATATATATATATATATATATATATATATATATATATATATATATATATATGCAAGTAAATCACTGTAGGTGCGCGTGATCCAGTACTAATCTTTAAAAAGCACCGCAACGGTGCGGTGCTTTTTAAAGATTAGTAGGGTCATTACCGAATACCTGACCATTGTGGACCTGATCTCACCCTCCTCTGTATATAGACACCTTGTTTTGTACTTCTCCTTAGTCTGTACTCACCCCTGAAGATGTGAATTACACGAAAGCGCTTGGGAACTTAGTGTTTTCTTCTTTCCTTGTGGTTATCAGCATATATATATATATATATATATATATATATATATATATATATATATATATATATATATATATATATATATATATATATATATATATATATGTTAATAAACTTCGCTTGGGCGAAGAATAGGTCAGTGCAGCTTAATTGCTTCGTCAGTGTTTGTTTACGCAGTAGGCTAGTGGATGGTAGCTCAGCCCCTCTATATCCCAGCTGTTCATCTGCTTACATGACTTGACTCAACGTCGTAGCGGGCTGCCTGCTGCTTTACCACATATTCGAGGCTCAGTATTCGAACATGCTATCTTGGTGTTTATTTTATTTCTAACTTTGGGTTGGTCACATTTCCCCAAGCTGATATATTGCTAGGTCGGGGTAATTGACCTATGGTAACTGAAATTCAAAGGTTTCATTCCTGGCAAATGTAAAACTATTCTGGAATTATATCGTTCACACACACACACTATAATAATAGTTGCCCCTCGTGTTGGAGGATGGCCGGTCCTAGCGTAAATTAGTTTAGGGTATAGAAGCTGACACTAACACAAGTGCCACCCTAAGTTAACGAGCTGTATGACCCGGTGTTAAGGAATAATCCAAGAAGACCGGACAACTTGCCGACAGTTCTGGCTCACCATTACCCTGGAACACGATCTGGAAATCGATTAACATTCAGGTTTCCAATTACTGCTGGGTAAACAGAAACTTGTTCGGGGACCATTCGCTTACGAGGCGAGCAAGCTGACCATTACACACACACACACACACACACACACACACGTATTTTCTGGTCCAAGGCGTCAGTAATTGATACTAAAGTGTCCTGGCTGTCGCTATGCTTCTCCAGTCGTCTTGCGAAGATAGCGTGTTTAGGGGCGTGACTACCCGCTCAGGTAAGCTGTTCCCCTCTCCACACTACACTATGAGGAGTTGTTGGTCCTCATCTGGGAGTGAGCACGTGACTTAAACACTTAAACTATTACTTCTAGTTTTACCCTTGTCTGGCCTCAGTCTCGGTGACGTAGCTGCATGATCTATATCTTGCATCACCTTGAACGTCTTCATCATGTCCCCGCATAGTGAACGGTTGATGGAAACCTTAGCCTGCACACACACACACACACACACTACTCCAAGAACACGCCAACCAGTGGTTTAGATATTAGCAAAGTTGTGTTCTATGTGTGATATACTTATTAACAGTCAGATACACACATACAGACATAAGTACGGATGTTGTGTCACCAATGTGGATAGAGGAATGACCATCAAGTTTTTCCTCCTAAAAACAAGATTAAAGCCCGAAATAGCTAGACCTGTGCCTAAGCGAGTTGTTTACCAAATAAATAATGAGTATTGATCTCCGAGTGTAAAGGTCTAGGGCCACAGTTGTAGAGTGACGACATAATGGTGTGAAGGAGTTAGTTGGTGAGGGTGGCGGTGGGTGTTCCTCGAGCACCGTGTGTCGGCTGGCCAAGCGGGGCGTCAGGCGATATATCATGCAGTAGGCAAGCCAGGTCGCTCACACGCCAAGCAAAATATTGATTAGCGGTAGTTTTAAATGGCCCACGGAGTTCTACGGGCGGGAGTTACCATTGTAGTAGTGTAGGGAGTGACCGGGAGATGGCTCTGCCTGCGCGCGCATCTCATGATCAATAGCACCACGTTCGAATCTGCCGAGGTGCCGGCGGTTTCCTCTTTTGTACCTTTATCACCCCCAACCTAGTCCTCCAGGTGAAGCACCAACATGTATCTAATGAAGGAAATTGGCAAAAAATGATCCCTTTTGCGTATAAGACACTGAGGGAAGAGGTTTGAAGGGAGGTAGGGTGGGATAGGTTGGCGTCCTGAGTGGATATGAACAGGTTGGTGAGGATCCAGTACGGTGGAGGAAGTGTGTTCCCTCACTCATATACCTTGGGAGTGGAGCGAGGGAGGGTGTGTCCCCTCAACCTGTGTGTCTCTCAGTCCTATGGCGTTGTCTCGTCCTCACACAACGCCTTAGTAACAGTAAAAGAATAAACAAACACAAGTATGGGTGGCGGAGCGTGGTGATACATATCAACATTTAGGGTTTGCGGTGCTTTTCTTTAGTTTATTTTATTATTTTTCTTTGCCCTCGGCGGGGCGTGAGGGATGTGTTGGTGATGCAGACAGCGGGGTGGAAGTTCCTGTGAAGGATGGAGCACGATTCTATAGGGCGTGGGGCCCTTCGCTGGTTCAACGTGAAGATTTCCCTCCTGCTGGTGATCGCTACCAGGCTCGCCCTCGCCAACTCCAACGCCAACATGTTCTGTGAGTAACAACCTCTTTTCAAACGTCTCAAGTCTCAAGGTGGACAAACCTCTTGGAAAGAAATCTGAAGTTTATTTCAGGATTTTCTCTTAGAGCACCACAGTATCGGCATAATGCATTAACTGTTTGTTCTCTTGGTCAAACGCATTTATTTTTGCGTAATGTTGCATATTTTATTTTTTTATAATGTTTCCAGTGAGCAATTGTTTGTTATATTACTCAAGAATTGTTATATTTAATGTCATTTCTTTAATTACAGTATTCCACTTTGAGAAAATCCTGCTTGCTTTTCAGATTTTTTTCCTTACAGCTATTCCAATCCCGATAATTAGTTAAATTTATGTATATTCAGTGAGGTGTGTGTTCGGAGATAGCCTGTGTCGTGTCTTTACTCCTACGTTCTTTTCAGAAGCATTCTCTTGGTGTCTGATAATATATTTCATGTTCAGATTGAAAGTGCTTTGGCCATAGAAAAATCATGATATAATTTTTCGGGTTTTTACTGTTTAAAAAGTAGTTTGGTTAATTGTCTGATATAATGGTTATATTTCCTTTCGAGTTATTGTATTAGTTTGTTCACTAAGGTTATAGCAAACTAACTACTGTATGCATCATTTTAGGACATTGGTAAGGTTAGATGAGTTGAGAGTTGATTGTATACTGTATAGCTAAGGATTGCAGTAACAAGTGATCCTTTTCAGTCTTTTAACTGTATATACCAGAAACCTGTAATGTTTGTTATGATGATGTAACCAAGCTGACCTATAATGCTGTACAGTTTAATTATGCTTTATAGTATTCCAGCCACTTCAGCCTTCATACTACACAATGTCTTCTCTTAATTGATTTAATATATAGGATCATAGTTACTTTGTGTTTATTAATTTATTCCAATGTTTTACTGAATTATAATGACTGTCACTAACTATTCCTAAGTGTAGTTACTGTGACCTACATTCTGTGTTGGTAATTTTGCTCTTGACACTAATATTGTTTCCTGTTTATGCCTCGACTTTTCTTCTTTGACATTTTTATTAATTCTGTGATTTGAGTGAGTTATTCTAAGTTAATTTCGTGATTGAATGATTTTTAGTTTAATTTGAATGCGTTGAAATCAACTTGGCTCGTGTAAATTAATTGAGCTAAGAATTTGTTATTTTTTCTTAATATTAATTAGTTTCATATACTGTATTGTTATAAAATATATTTATTGCTACAATTTATTGCAAGGTGATTCGAATATATTAAATTACTGGTAATTGCTCGAGTGGTTTATCACGTTTATTAATTCTTTATATATTTTGACAAAGTTGGCTCGACTTCATTTATTACTAATATGACCTGAAAAGTTATTTAATTACTCTTCGAGGTAATTTACTAATAAATTGGATTTCCATAATGTGGCAGTAATTAAGAATAAGATTGTGAATATTTAAGTGGTTACCGAGTAATGATTTAATGGCACAATTGAATTAAATCATTAATGTAATTTGTTTATTATGATGGTCGAATTACTGAACGATAAAGTCTATCCACTGGAATATCAAGATATTTTTTATTCAGTTACGAACGGTCAAATTATGTTTAGGGCTTATGAACTATGTGCACAAGAGAATTATTGTTATTGATTTTTTCCACACATATAATAAACTTTTCGTAGTTGGTCATATTCGCACACACACATAGTGATATATTAAATGTTATATCATGCTTTATTCTTTTTATCTATATTCATAATAAAAAATTACGTGAAAATTCGTGAAAAAAATGTTATGTTGGTATCTGTATGGCATAAAGCTTTAAAAGGGTAATTTGTTGGCTTAATCGTCGCATTGTTTTATTGTTGATCAGAGGTGAAAATATCCGCTCCAAATATTTCCCGTATAGCTAAAGTCTTTAAACAGTTCATTTCCTCACTTTACCCCTCCAATACGGTGTACGATTTCCGTTTCCAAATCCTTTTTTTTTAAATAATTCATTTATTTACTTAATGACTTGATAATTTATTAACGTACTCGCTGGATAATTTGTTGAGTTAATGGTGGGGTAATTTGTTGAGTTATATGCGTAGGTGTAAATAAGGAGAGCGTCCCAAGCCCTCCGTTGTCTCTCAGCCATTTGAAATCTTGTTGATCTCGACAAGGGATTTTGAGGGTGTATTTCCTCCCCCCTCACCCCCCCCCCCTCCACACACACACCCAGGGCGTCGAGGGAGGACCTGCCACACAGTTTCAGAGTAACGCTCAATTGTTAAATTGGGATACAGGAGGAGTTTAAAGCTGCCTTGTTCTACACCACGCGGGGCAAATTGTTATCTAAAAAAAAAAATAGTGGGATGCGTTGTAGATTCTGTGGTGACTCCGCTCTTTCTCTCTAGGCTATTATAAAAGGCTATAGGCTACTACAACTACTGATGCTAGTTAGGGCTGTATGGGGACTATAGGCTACTGAAACTAGGGTGATGCGTAGGTCCTGGGGGTAGTAACAAGGCTATAGGCTACTGATAAAATGAAACGCTTGAACGGGGAGGAGGGGAAAGTGAGAGAAATGGAGAGGGAGCGAGGAAGAAAGTGGCTAAACGTGGAAATTTAGGATGAAAGATGAAAATTGGGGATTTCAGTAGACGCCAGAGGTTGGAATCTGAAATAGTGGGACTAGGATAGAGGCGTCGGGAGGTGAACCAAGTAAGAACAGTTTCAGGGCTTTATGGAGTGTCAGACCTGGAGACCTTACTATAGGAGGGAGGGCTATGCTGAATTAGGGTTACTTGTCTTGCTAGGTTGATGGAGAATGTTTTTTTTTTTTTGCTGTGTTAACTTGGAGTTCTGTTCTGGGGTACTTTAGTGCTGTGTTGATCAAGGGTTTCGTTAATTTCTGTGTGAATTAGAGTTTCATCCTTCTGTGTATTAAAAAAATGAATATCAGAAAGAAAACAATATTCTAAGATGCAACGAATATTATACGATGTACGATGTGGATTAGGGTGTGAAGAAGAGATTAAAAAAAGAAAAAAATTACGAAACTATGAAACCTGTTAAAATTTTATTACGGTAGAAATGGGACAATTTTTTTTCCTAGGATGGCGCTATGAATACCCTCCTCCCTCGCCTCGCCTTCCCTCGCCCCCGCACTGCCCAACTGCTATTGTCTCATCACCAAGTCCCTCTGATACAACACCTTTTTTTTCTCCCTTGAGGTATGATGTGATTTATAGACGACGGAAGCAGTAGTGACGCAATTGTTATGGGTTGTTTCGTGTTGCTGGTGGGTGGGGGGAGGGGTGAAGTGTTTTAGTGGAGTTTTTAGACAGTCAGACAGACATAATATATTCATGGATAGTTAAAATAGGTCTGGAGAAGATATAGTTAGTTAGGTTAGTCAATAAAGAACAGAGCAAAGCGTTACTATTATTAGTACAGTGCTATTGTTTTTATTAAGTAGTGAAATTTCAATTAATTATTTTAATTTTAATTACTGTGTGTGTGTGTGTTAGCTTTGATTTCCTGAATAAGTTTGCTGAGGCAGTAAAGAAAATTCACCTAACTTCAATGAAACTAAGGCGTTACTGACGTCATTGACTGGACCCCAAAAAATAGCAACGAAATTGCATAGATATTCTACCCCTGCAATAGATACGTTCGTTTAACAAAATTGGAACGGACGACCATGTTGGCATTTGGGAAGATTACCCGTACGAGTTTTAGGTTTGTGCTGAGTGAAGGTAGAGTCTCTTGTGTAATATCGTTTCTATTTTTGAACCTTTGTGTTTGAGTTTATAAGTCAAGCCCTTACGTGCATTCATACATATTTGATTACGAGGCTTTTTACTGTGCACGGGGCGAAACCGTTGAGAATTTGGCCGCTGCTCTGTTTACGTGGCATTGCGTTCGAGTATTGAAGAAAACACATGCAATTAAAAATAAATATATAGCCTCCAGTGTTTATTTATCGTTATAATAATTAATACATTATTTAATGGAATGAGGTATATATATATTGGTCTTGAGAGAGTTTGATGAATTTATTGCGTGTTTGTAGTGTTTTGTTATTCAGGCTGCCATTATTTACCTGGTGAAATTAATGAGTTGCTTTTTTTTTATCTTTTCTGAAATTGGGTTGAGTAATTAGGATATTGCTGTGAGGGAGGTTTTAATTATGTGTTTTATTTATATGTATGTACTGAGCAATGTAGGTGTTTGACGTTTGTTTGTTTATTTTCGTTTTCTCTCTCTCTCTCTCTCTCTCTCTCTCTCTCTCTCTCTCTCTGGTGCTGCGCCATAACGCCATCGACACACACCACTCACTAAAAACAACCCCCTGACAGCCATCATACACACCGTACACCCAGTAATTTATTCCCGCCACCACCACTTATTGTGAGCAGTCAGCGCTGGTCATGTCTGGAACCCCCTCCCCCCTCCCTGGAGACCCCCTCCCCCCACTGGACTGGAGTGGACCGGACCCTCTTGAACCTTCCGAATCCCTCCACCTCCACCACCCACTGGATCATCTGAAGCTCTTGAACACACCCGAACCCCACCGGACTCGATCTTCTGAGGTTCAAGGATTTAGGGGTTCAAGGGTTCGGAGATTTAGTGGTTCAGTCGTGGAGGGGGGAGGGTCTGCGACACACACACACACACACACACGCTTGCCTCCTCAGTAGCCTACACACCTTAAGACTTTACATATTACACATATTGGGTTATCGTGAGCTGGCCAAGGTACAGTATTGACCACTGTCCTGCCAGGCGGCACAGTGGCTGGCCGTGGCATGTATCCTCTTTAACATCTTTACTACTTGGATTTACGAACGTTTTTAACACCGATTTACTAACGCTTTTAACACTGATTTACGAACGTTTTTAACACCGATTTACTAACGTTTTGAACACTGATTTACGAACGTTTTGAACACTGATTTACGAACGTTTTGAACACTGATTTACGAACGTTTTGAACACTGATTTACGAACGTTTTGAATACTGATTTACGAACG